AAATTGACTAAAAACACTTTTGATAAAAATATTTTGGAGCCAATCGTTAGTAAAAACGCAAGTGAAACTTTGAAAATCATTTGAAGTGCTCTTCAAGTAATTTCGGAATCCATAAATATTTTCTCTAAAAACGTTTTCAATCATTTTAAAAATACTTCTAAACTAGCCTTAAAATTTCAGAATTAACAAACCCGTTCAAATGCTTTTACAAAACAAAAGCGATTTTCTACTTTTTCTATGGAACATTATCAACACGCTTTGAATCATAGTCAATTCTAAATTCTTGTAACACTTTGACGTACAATCACATCAAAGTAGCTTAAATTACGGGGATCGTTGGCAAAAACAAGCACAAGAGTTTAATTTGGGGAAACCCCACCGGCCCCGGTGGCAATGGGTAGGCGACTCCTTCAAAGTCGCCGGCGGCTCTTGCATCTTTGGACATTTCTCACCTCCCTTCAAATGTCAATTTCTCGTTTGTCCTTGTGGAATCCCAACTCCCGAACCCATTAGGACGCCGCCACGTCCCCAGCCCGACGTGTTCCCGACCGACACTTTCACTACTTTGAGTAATAGGGACACTGGATCCAACCCCTTTGCCGCAGATCTCGAACTTGTAACAAAGAGATATTTTGATGTCGGAAATACAGTTCGATACATCAAGTATTATAATATAATTGATTATATTTTTTTTTCTAGTTTTATATAATTATACTATTACACTTGGGCCTCGTTTGGCAAGTCGGACTGTACTGACTATTTCTGTCGGATAGGATAAATAGTCACCGGATAATACTGACTAAATTAGTCAAACATTTGGTGCAGTATCGGACTATTTACCGTATTATTTATACTGTGTTTGGTATTATATCCGATAGGATAATCAAACTTAAAATAAAATTAAAAAAAAAAAACAAAAACAAAAATCATCTCTTTTCCCAGATCTTTCCGCCGCAACCCCCAAATCCCTCCCTCTCTCCATTCTTCTTCTTCGTCTGCTCCGCCATTTTCAGCACCACCATCGACAACTCCAGCTACAACTTCTCCAAATCCTCCACCTTCTCCTCCGTCGCCTCCCTCAAATCCTTTAAATCCTTTAAATCACTTCTCTTAAATCCTCCACCTTCTTCCCCACCCGATATGTCGCCGTCTCCACCTCCTTCCACATCACCAGCAGTGTCTCGCAGCTGCAATCGGCGGCGGAAGCTGTAAACGGCAGCGGCGGAGAAGATGCAGAGAGATCCGGTAGCCAGAATAAGTTGCGATGCTCACTGTCACAGACCTTCCCTTCTTCTCTGCACATCAGCTTCTCTTCTTCTCTGCACCTCACTGTCACAGACCTGCACCTCATGGGCAGATCGACGTCGGCGAGATGAGGCGACGGCTATAGGAGAACGATGACGACGAGATGGATAATGGCGAAAACGACGACGGGACAACGGTGAGAGGAGGTGTACGTCGTGGAGAACAAAGTGCGAGAGAGAGGAAAGGGAACCGGACTAATAATCCACTCCTTTTGGAAGGGTTTATTAAGAAGGTGTATACCCGACTATCCTATCCGACTGCTTAAATTAATCCGGCGACTATTTAGTACGAGAGGACACCAAACGGTCGGGCCCGTACTATTTGTCCTATCCGATCCCTTATACGGCGTGCCAAACGAGGCCTGGTGTACTGGATCGTGTCATCGTCAAACAAAAAAATTTCACTCTTTGAGGGTCAATTATTGATAGACTTTTTTAGTATGTCTGAAATACGAAGTGGTACACCACATGTCACTATGCAAGTGGTGAGATACTTGTCTGGTCAAGTAGTATTATTCTTCACTTGTAAGTGAGAAATCCTAGGTTCGATTCTTGTTAAATGCGAATTTGATTTATATTATTGTTAGCACATTATGAGACTGACCCACTCCTCACCCTTTTAGTGTAGACAATAATACGTAGTGTATCATTCGTGTTTCGAACACATTAAAAAATTTCTTCGAGTATTGAGTGAGATGGTCCCCAGTTGTCTCTTTCATTTACTGCACAGTTTTGTAGAATTTCACCATCTTCTTACCCGTTTACCCCTCTTTGAAAAGGGTAGATCCCAAAGTTGAAATGTGGGATTTATTTGGTATAGTTTGGTCAAATTAATGGTTTTTGAAATTACTAGTGGATTATGCACGTTATTAGTTGGTTTAGCAGCATTTAGTTGAAAGATGTCTCATGTTCGATTTATATAAATATAAGAGCAATAAATATATTTGTGTGAATTCGGTACAATTTATAGTTGGGTTAACATTATATGCTCACAACAACACTAAACCACTACAACTAGGCTAACCACGCACCTCGCCTAATTAAATATCAAACCTATCATAAGTATTCATTTTCCTCTTTTATCTTTGTGAGTTGAACTTGAGAGAGCTTCCAATTAAGAGAAGACAACTACCTTCAGACCAAATGCTAGTTGATATTGTCACACGATAGTAACCGTCTAAACAATCTTATATGAACAAATGGAGAATTCATAATTTAAAGTATAGTAGTACTATTAATGTATAATCCGTTCATATAACGTATGTTAGTTGTATCACATGAGATTATTTCGATAAACAACCCTAACAAATTCTTAGTTATGGTTTGATTTGACCTTCATTTTAATAGGTAAATAGGTAGCGGTGGTACATAGTAAATGCACCATACCAAACTTTACCAGAAAAGCAAACACCCCACCTTACAAAAATTCGGTCTCGACTCTCTAGGGTTTCATTTCATGCACATAAAATCTTCAAAATTTAGAACAAAATCCACCCTTCCAGCAATGATGAGGAAAAGCAATAACCCACGATCGATCGCCACACACATCCTTTTAAATTATAGATTATATTGGAACTTGAGAATTGAAATTCATGGACCGAGCAATCTAGATCGTTCAAGGGAGATTTTTGGACGTTAGACAGCGATTGAATGTGAGGTGGGTAAGTAAAATGAAAGACCACATAATTTAAATTGAATAGTCTGCCGGCTCTAAAATGTAAGATCCGAAAAGAATCCCATCCCTAGAAATACCACCACCACACTACCACAGCTGAGTACAACAGAGAAATGATTTTCTATTTCAATACAAGTGATAGTGAAAAAGGGAGAGTCGAACTTAGTATCTCGGGTATAAAAATAAATATTTTTAATCACTTTGAACTAAAAACTCTTACAACAAATATAGACATATCATAAAAATGACATATACTATTGTATTATTAGTACAGAACGCTCGTGTTATGAAAATTACACTTACAAGTTATAGAGTAGTCTTAGGTAATCTAGAAACTATAGAATAAGTAGAAGTGCACGACATGTCGTCAGGGAGTTAGATATTAGAGAAATAGAAGCTCATCGGGATTGGCGACGTGAGCTGGGGAGGTTTTTACTTGCTGTAACGTGAGCGAACATGTTCTGTAGTTGAAAATTTGTTAAAATACCACCGACATGCCAACTGGTGCCCACTTCCTGCCAACGAACATATACAAAATTACAAATACAACCCCCTTTCATTTTTTATACGAAAACTATTGAAAATAGATTGAAAATTTTGAGTTTTAACTAAAATAATAAAAAAATGTTGTAAGTAGATAGTACTAGAAGTAACTTTTTAGAGTTAAAATGTCCTTAACGTTAAAAGTGAATAGTACTATGAGTGTTTCATTAAAACTCCCCTTTTTTTTTGGATCAGGATCCTCTCTTGAGCTAAGGGTGAGGATCTTTATGAGCAAGCCCATCGGGCAGTTCAAATTTTATCCAACGGTTGCAAACAGGAGGTCCCTTTAAAAGTTATAATAACTGTAACCGTTGGATCAAATTTGAACGGCTCGATGGGCTTACTAAGGAGGATCCTCACCCTTAGCTCAGGAGAGGATCCTGATCCCTTTTCTATAATTTTTTGTGGTTTTGTTACCATTTGTGTATGGACGGTGTTAGTTACATGCTTGTTTTTATCTTTCATGTACTCTTATTAATTTTTTTCAATTCATGCAGTTCGATGATTGAAAATTGAGAAATGTATGTAAGAAATAAAAATGGGTATATGAATATCATTGGGATTAATTTAAAAAAAAAGTTAGATTATGGCAAGCATGATTGCTTTTGCTATAAAACAAATGGGAATATGGGAAACTCCCACTAATCTACTTTTGATTCATCATTTGTCTCTCTAACTATACTAGTTAGATCCCATCGAGATTTGATTAATCAAATTCTTTTTTCTTTCACCAATGAAATATCTCTAGATGTCCTGTGTCTCTTATTCTCTCATTTAAATATCGCTTGCATAAAAACTGTCAAGATTTTATAGTCGGGTTAATAACTTACTACTAATTACATTGATATTGTTCTAACTTAACACTCTGCACAATTAAACAGATATTGAGCTTTATCATAAAAAGTTGTAATTTAAAATTTTCAAGTTTTCAAAGTGGATTACATTTTTCAACAAAAACAATCAAATTGAACTTATTAAGGCCTTTTCCACAAGTTTAGAAGAGCATAAAATCCAACCATGAAAGCCCATATTAGTCGAGCTTCTAACCCAACCCACCAACCACCAATGTCATTAGGCCTTTTCTTTTACAATTCTAAGGCCCTGGGTGGCCGAGAGGAGACTGGAAAGCCCAGTCCAAATCAATTTTGCTTGTGTTCTTAGAGTTTTTTTGTAAATATGGTGTTTGTGTTCAACTATATATGCAGACAACCAGATGGGAATCATGGGATATGGCAAAATGACTATTTAAGAGGGTCCCAGGAGAAGGTAAATTCAATACTACAACGTTACTACGGTTTGGAGAAAAATTTAGGTAGAAGTGTCCAACCACGTCATTTGTAGACATCTTGTATAGACTCTCAGTACTTCAGAACAAGAGTTGCTCTAATTAAGCGGAGTCTCTTCTATTTAGTATTTATTGTGCACAAAGTGATTGTTCCTTGCAGTTGGTAATCATTTATGCCAACGTACCCTACCATTCTAATCACCAAATATTTAGTACACAATGTATACGTTTCATCAACTTTACTCACTATTCATAATTTCATATATAACTTCATCTTAGCAGTCTGAATTTTGTTTGTTTTATAAATAAAAATATGAAAAATACGCGATATTAGCTTCTTGGAGTAGGACGTATAACGTCCACACTCAAACCCGAAGACCCACCGCCCGTCCCTCCATTTCAATTCCAAGCACTGTTCAAATCTCAAACTATCTGCAGATTTGATGATAAACAAATGTCTTTTAGGCAAAGCACATCATGTTCCAAGAAGATGCCACTTAACATGGTTTTAGAAAACGTGGATAGATGAACATAGATGAAAAAAGACCAAAAAAATAGTATGAAAAAGCTGAAATTAATTAGTTATGCAGGTCACAGTCAGCATTTGGCAAGAAGCTTGTGCAATCTACTGCTTTGTCTCCAAAAAGCACTGGTAGGTTGGTGAATTAAAAGCAATTTTCTGCTTCCAAAAAGCACCTGAATATTATTTAATTTTGGCCTCAGCTGCAGATACTCGTACTGTAGATCCTGCAATGTAAAGAGAATAAGGGACAAGGAGAAAACGTTAAATTATTTGACCAATATTTTTCTGATCTAAGCAATACTCTTGATAGATGCAGGAAGTTGACTTTTCTTGCTTAAAAACATAGGGGCTTGGTTGACCTAGTTAAACTTGGTATAAAATATGAGCAATTTTGTATCTAATTATAACATTAATCAGCAGCTTATCATCTTAAACCTGATCAGACGTCTTAAGTGATTGGTTATAAACACTGAAAAAATGGGAAGATCACCTCATCGTCTGCGCCCACCTTCGCCGCCCGGCAGGATCAATGTTGCTGCAACAAGGAATCTTCCATGCCTTTAAATTTTTATATATTGCAGAAGTATATACATTCCTCATATACATATACTTTTGTCGCAATCAAGTACATGAGAACATGACATCTGTAAAAACCCTAGCACAAGATATAGTATTTGGTTTGAGCTTAGTTGCTTATAAATACTGACATTTCGACAATCATATCGTACCAAATACGTTGTACAAAAAACCCTAGGCAGCATACTGGAAGTTAATCCATGGAGATTAGGAAGTGTAAAAGCACATTGTTTGCATCTGTCGTGTGTTTCACAATATTTTCTTATGCAGGTGAGATTTTTAACTGTAATTAGAACTCTAATTAGGAATATGATTCCTTGATTAAGCATCGTTGCTTGTTCTAATTTGCCTTTTTTTTCGTTCCGGTCATGTTTGTAGTGGCTTATGATCCGTTTGATCCAAAAGGGAGCATAAACATCAGATGGGATGTTGTTTCTTGGACTTCTGATGGCTATGTGGTGAGTGCCACAAGAACTTGTAAAACATCTTTTTTGTTGTGTTTTTGGTTTGAACACTTCGAGTAACCCTAACAATTAATAAATTCAACAAGTATAAAATATGAAAAAAAGTATCATGTCCAATGAATATTCCTCCACAATTGTCGAAAAAGTACACAGAAATGATTCAAATCAATGCCAGCCATTTTGTATAAGGTCAACTTTGTAATCTTATTTGTTTATTAATTTTCTTAGAATTTTGTTTATCTTAAGTTATGATTAAGCTCTAATTAATACAAATATTCAAGCATTTAGAATCTCCAAAAAGTTAATTAAAACAAATGCTTATTAATATTACCTTGATTACGCAGGCTGCAGTGACAATAAGCAACAACCAAATGTACCGCCCCGTCACGAGCCCAGGGTGGACCTTAGGATGGACATGGGCTAAAAAGGAGGTGATCTGGTCCATGGCGGGAGCTCAAGCCACTGATCAAGGATACTGCTCCAAGTTCAAAGGAAATATTCCACACAGCTGCTCAAAAATTCCTTCAGTTGTTGACTTGCCTCCTACGGCTCCATACAACCAAAGATTTTCTGATTGCTGCAAGGGTGGTGTGTTGGAATCACTTGGACAAGACCCCTTGGCTGCTGTCTCGGCATTTCAGCTGAGTGTCGGGCATTCAGGTACCTCGAATACAACAGCAAGACCACCCAAGAATTTTTTCCTGCTTGGTCCTGGGCCGGGGTATACCTGCAGTGCTGCAACCATTGTGCCACCCTCAGTCTCCTACTCGCCTGATGGTCTGCGTAAGACTCGAGCAATGAGTAAGTTTTACCGTTCGAACAAAATGTGCCCAAAGTGTCACATTCCATCTTTTGATATATCTTCGCATGTACATGCAATAGCGTTTCAACTAGTGGCCTTTGATTTCATATGTTTCAGCATGTGGTTTATAAATTGCTTCGACAGCAAAATAAGAAACGGTACGCCTCTCTAACATGTAAATATCGTGTTCCCTTTTTGGCAGTGACATGGAGTTTAACCTGTAGTTACTCGCAAGTGCTGGCTTCCCAGAACCCTACTTGTTGTGTCTCTCTGTCATCTTTTTACAACCCGATGATCACTCCCTGTCCGTCTTGTGCTTGTGGCTGTCAAAATAAGAATAACTGCGAGTCAGTACTCTCGTACCCACAACTTTCTTAGCCTAATCAATTTCGAGACTTGTAAGTTTATATTATCTGCCCTCTAACATTAGAACATATGCAGGGACAATGATCCTTCAAGTGTCGTAAGTTTGAAAACCGTAGTTCAGAAAAATGCATCAATCTTACAATGCACAGATCACATGTGCCCAATTCGAGTCCATTGGCATGTGAAGGCTAACTACCGAGAGTATTGGCGCGTGAGGATTGCCGTCACAAACTTCAAGTACCGGATGAATTATACACAATGGACTCTTGTTGCTCAGCATCCAAATCTCAATAAACTTGCTAATGTTTCAAGCTTTCTCTATAAGCCACTCATTCACTACGACACAAGTAAGTTTACAACGGAATTACAATATTTGTACATTAGTACTATTCATTTTTTCTCAATCTGTTTCACTTCAAATACGTACAGACGACACTGGCATGTTTTACGGCATAAAAAATCTTAACAACCTACTAATGGAAGCTGGAACCGATGGACATGTTGAATCAGAGCTTATTCTCCAAAAGAACACGAAGGAATTCACATTGAAGCAAGGTTGGGCATTTCCATTGATGATTTACTTCAATGGTGATGAATGCAAGATGCCCCTTCCTGATATATATCCATGCCTACCCAACTCTACTAATTCAAATCCAATTCCATCGTCTACACTAGCTACCCTTTTGCTTTCAGCACTACTACTAGTCTTCTTCAGCTCCCGTCACTAAGGACGTGACCAAAAATCCGAATGATGGTCTTGAAGATGCTCCATCTTCATCAATACAACTAAAGGAAGGATTGGACAAGAAAATATTGGGAGTGTGTGAACTCTGCCACTATATGCCTGTAGAGTTGTGATCAAGTTCAGAAAAGTTGAACAAATGTGTAAAATTATATCCAAATGTATAGAGAGACAAGACCCCCATATACTCGCAGAGGATAATATGGAGATCCAAACATAACTGATGGAATGTTTAGAGTATCTCTATTTCCCGAAAAATGATCTTGTAAATATCAGTATAAATGATCTTTCCATCGTGTTCGATTATCGCATTAAGTTGGTAACCTCGGAATCTAAAGCTACTTGGCGTTTTGAATCCAGTTCCAACAATGCACTTTTTTGAGATAGAGAAAGCGGAACTGCTTGACGCTGCATATTAGAACTCATTAAAGCAGAAAATAAAGAAAAACCATAGTCAGGGGGCAAGGGCAACGGAAAACCAAAACCCCTCCAAGAAAAAAATGGAACAAAGCACGATAACATAAACTACAAAACCACTCCTAGCAAACCTACAACAAAGAAGCCGAGAAAGATTACGAGAATAATTAGTAACAGCACAAGGAGGGCATGAATCCTACCAATGAACCCGGGTGATTAACACCACAATTTGCCAAACCGTCGGCGCCTTGTACCAGAAAACTTGGACAAGTCACTTTAACCATATTGTATTACAGGTTAATCAAAATTTCATGAGGGTACCTAATATAACAAAACCTGCAGAGGTTGAAAAATCCCTGTCTGATTTAGAAAACCCAACAGTCCCAAAGTTATCCAATCTAATGATTTCTTATATTCCACGCTTCGTTTTTTTTTTTTTTTTTTTTTTTTAATCCAGGGGAGGATGGATTGAAGAGAAAGAGATGCAAAAGTCATTGTCAAGTGTAAGTATTGTAATTTCTAGACGGAAAACTGTTCAGATTGCCTTTTCATGCGAGTTAGATAGTTGTATCATCGAGTTTATAATCCTAGGAACGTGTATGATCCTTAAAAACTAAATTGTCCTAACATCAATGTACGACATACATTGTAGATCCAACATAAACTGTTCAGAAGGTTGTAGATAGAATTTTCCCTAAATGATCATGTCTTTTTGGAGAGATTTTACTGCGTAATCGGAGGTATATCCCATCTTTCTATCTTTCTCATCCTGTGTTTGGAATAACATTTTGGCATGCGGGAAAAGGTACTAGGTCATTTTCACAAGGGAAGTTTACTAGTTGTGTCAAGCTTGCCTCGAAACGCAAGATACCATTGATAGTCGCATCAAACATAGAGGTACAAAGATTGCAGGTATAATCTACATTTTTGGTAATACAGATCATGCTTGTGGAGTACTCAAATTAAATCTCTTATTTGTCGTGAATGGATCCAAAAAATATGACCTACAGTTATGCTGACGGTGGGCTGTTGTGTTGAAACATTCCAAAATTTGCATAAAATACCTAATAAAATCACTAGGTGAACTTGGTTTAAGCTCCTTAACAACACACATGTTTGTTCATAATTTCTCATGCAGGTCAGCTTCTTAAAAAAAAGACCAGTTGGTGGCCAAGCCACGACAATCAATCAGGGACCGGGAAAACTTATAAACGCATTTCAGCCTTCCCTTAAGCACTATCGTATGATTCACCAAGGCAACAAATATTCTTTCAATAGTACAATTCGGTCCAATATTCTTTGTTTGATGTATTTAGTGCATTTAAAACAAACGAGATATATGAATGGATATTTGGTGTCATCCATTTCTTTTTTTAATTAAAAGGTTTTTTTAAGCAACTCAACCGAAGTGAACCAAACAAGACCACCACACTTCACTTCGCCAGAGTTTGCTTAAACAATCAATCACTTTAATGCGTTATTTAGCTACAAGCTCATGCTACGAGGACCGTTTTAGTTAAAAGTTTATTAACAAGTCTTATCCTTGCATGTTTTCCTAAATTTGAGAGTTTAATTAGCTATGTATATAAATTATTGAATGTGGACGGAGGCCAGAAAGTGCAAGCACGAGCACAGAAAGTGGAAGTGGTGTTGGCTACAAGTTAGTAAAAGAAAAAAAAAAAAGACTTGTAATTGAAGCAATCCAATTACAAGTTTACAACATGCTCTCTTGGCTAAAAATGGGAGGCTTTTGAGCTCATATGATATATGACCTAAAGAAGCAACAGTGTGTGGAAGAAAACTGACCGTTGTGCTGTTGTCTTCAGAGCCTCTCGAACTCTCCCGCCAGCTTTTCACATAATTATTCTTCACCAAAACTTGCTTCAAGATGCAGAAACACGTCGCAGATAAACAATTTAAATAAGGTAATATATACATATATATGTGTGTGTGTATGAACGTAAAATATATCAAATACTGATATAGTCTCTTCCCTTTTCCTTTCTAACACCCTACATATATCTTTGTCTCCTATTCATTCATCCTCTCATCGCTGCCGCTGGAAAGCGTGTGATCTGGTGAACCGAGGCCATGGAATTCGAAAACCAGGCCAACCCAACTCACAAAATCTGTCTCACATGTTATTCTTGGTCTTGGATGAAGTTCACATTCTTGGCCGTGCTGTATTGCTTGATACTATCGCCTGCAGGTAAGTTTTTTTTATAACAAATCTAATTTGAAGAAACAGACCTTTATCTCTGTTATTGGTTTCATTAATTTATTTGTTTGCTGATGTTTGCTTTCGGTTTTGTGATCTTTAGCGGCATATGATCCGTTGGATCCAACCGGAAATATAACGATCAGATGGGATGTTATGTCTTGGACAGCAGATGGTTATGTTGTAAGATCTCTATCATTTAAGTGACTTTGTTTTTGTCCATGATCATTACACATTCCCAGTTTAACTTCTGACGCTCCCCTTGTGAGTGTATAAATTAAATTGTAAATACAGAATACGGAGTGTCGGAAGCTAAACTAAGAGTTTGAAAATCGCGACTCTGTTGATTAATTTACAAATCAAATTCTTATCCTACATTGAATTATGTTAGGCTGCAGTGACTATGAACAACTTTCAAATGTACCGGCAAATCCCAAGCCCTGGCTGGACTCTCGGGTGGTCATGGGCGAAAAAGGAAGTGATCTGGACAATGGTGGGAGCTCAAACCACAGAGCAAGGAGACTGTTCAAAATTCAAAGCAACCATCCCACATTGCTGCAAGAAAACTCCAACAGTTGTAGACTTGCTTCCCGGAGTACCCTACAACCAGCAGTTTTCTAATTGCTGCAAAGGTGGCGTCCTAGCGTCTTGGGGACAAGATCCCTCAGCAGCAGTCTCTGGCTTCCAGGTGAGTGTCGGGCAAGCCGGCACTTCAAACAAGACGGTGAAACTGCCCAAAAACTTCACCTTGCTTGGTCCCGGACCAGGGTACACTTGCGGCCCTGCAAAGGTCGTGCCGTCCACAGTCTTCCTCACAGCTGATCGCCGGCGAAAGACTCAAGCACTTAGTAAGATTTCCTCACTCATATTTCTAAGATCTTCCTACTCTCTCATCTTTCAAGTATCTCTTACTAATTTCTATGTATTTTCCTTGTAATGCAGTGACATGGAACGTGACGTGCACCTATTCGCAGTTTCTAGCCTCCAAGAATCCAAGCTGCTGCGTTTCCTTTTCGTCTTTCTACAACGAAACCATTGTTCCTTGCCCGTCTTGCGCTTGCGGTTGTCACAACAAAAAAAATTGTGTCATGTAAGCCTCCATAACCCTATCCACATTACACAGATTTGCACACACTTGACCTAATTTCTGGATGCAATCTTTTACAATGCGTACAGGAGTGACTCAAAGTTGGCACACAAGGCCGGAATAAACACACCGAAAAAGGATAATTCGCCGTTGCTTCAGTGCACGCATCATATGTGCCCCATCCGAGTACACTGGCACGTCAAGCAAAACTATAAGGACTACTGGCGGGTCAAGATGGCCGTCACCAATTTCAACTACCGGATGAACTACACAGAGTGGACGCTCGTTGTACAGCATCCTAATCTCAACAACGTCACTCAAGTCTTTAGCTTTGGTTACAAGCCCCTCGTCCCCTACCAATCCGTCAGTAAGTGTTTTACGATCGCGAGCTTCTGAAGCTTCTTTTTTCTCAGAGTTTTGATTTTCGTCCTAATGTTCGAGCGTGATTGACTGTAATCTGCAGATGACACCGGTATGTTCTATGGCATGAAGTTTTACAATGACCTACTAATGGAAGCTGGGCCATCAGGAAATATTCAGTCTGAGGTGCTTATGCAGAAGGACCAGAATACCTTCACGTTCAAGCAAGGATGGGCGTTTCCTCGAAAAGTTTACTTCAATGGCGATGAATGCATGCTGCCCCCGCCGGATGCATACCCGTCTCTACCCAACTCCGGCCATGTAAACTCTATTTCAATCTTACAAAAGGCAGCCTCCATGCTTCTGATAATGTTTTCTCTATGTCTTTCACTTTCCTGATAAATTTTTGAAGGTCAGAGCGACAGATGTGGTCCTGTGTGCGATAATTCGGTATAGATTGTAAACTATATCTGAATTCGTATAATCTCACACAATTTTTCCATATCTGTCCGTGACACAATTTTATTCTTGTTTTCGATCTGTAGTATGTAAAACGATACGTGGATTCGGAATTCAACAGGAATCTATGAACAAGACTCCTACATCATCTTTAATTTCTTATGAAATATCATATAGCACTAACAACATATTCACTTTGGATTGTTCTAAATAATCGCACAACAGCTAAACTTGAACAAAAACAGTGGTGACAAAGAAAAAATGTAATACGTGTAACAGATAACGAAACAGAATTTTGTAGCGAAAGTCAAGCCGGAGTGCACCTGAACCGCTTGTAGAAGCCACAGCACTAATACATTTGACATCATCACTTGGATTTCCCATAAGTCTTGGGGAAACCTGAACTTGATGGGAAATTCTAGAGTGTATTGATAAAACTGATGGCCTTTGCCGCCTAGCCCGAACATACTCACTACGCATAAGCCAATAAGATTACCAGAGATGCGAAGGCGGTCATGACTGGACCAAGTATGCTAATAATTCGTTTGGGACTAGCATTCGGCAACCATGGGTAGGCATCAGGAGGTGGCATGACGCAGTTGTCTCCGTTGAAATAAATCCTTCGAGGGAAAGCCCAACCCTTTTCAAAAGTAAAAGTTGAAGTATCCTTTCGAAATAGGAGCTCTGACTGCACATTTCCAAGTGGACCAGCTTCCGAGAGGAAATCGTTATAAAACTTTACTCCCCACAACATGGCCGTATCATCTGCACAACCAGAAGTATAACCGAATTTTATGTCAATAAAAGTCAAAAGAACTGCAGATAGGTATTTCACAAAAATTGATGAAGGGCAAAGAAAAGACTTACTTAAGCCAACATAAGGAGTTAATGACTTGTAATTGAAACTGAAAATCTTGGTCAAATTATCGAAGTTTGGATGTTGCACGACAAGATTCCACAGCGTGTAGTTCATTCTGTAATTGAAATTTGTAATTGTGACTTTCACCCTCCAGTAATCCTTGTAATTGAGCTTAACATGCCAATGTACTCGGATTGGACACATATGACTGGTACACTGGACTAGAGGAGTATTAGCAGATTTCCCGGAACCAGCTACAGCTGAAGCTAAGTATGGATTCTTTGGCCTACAAATATCAGCAAAAGAGGAAAGATTTTTTATTTACTATTATTGCAAACTCCGGCTTTGGACATGAATAACGTACTGAAAAACTTGAGAAAGTTTTGTAGGCGATAGAAAAACAATATTCAGAAATGCAAGAAACACATGAATTAGAGAACTTACTCTACACAGCTTCCTGGGTCTGTAGCGTTGTTCTGGCAGCCACAGGCACAAGTGGGACAGCTCACTATGGTTTCATTGTAGAAGGAGGAGAGCGAAACACAACACGTGGGTGTCTTTTGAGCTAGAAACTGCGAGTACGTGCATGTAACGTTCCAGGTCACTGCCACAAGAGGGTATAGAGGTTAGATAAAGCATGAAAATTCTTTCATGTTTAAAGTATTAATACCATACTCATCAGTCGAAATGCATCTTTCAATAGGAACAACATTTTAAGTGCAGCTTAAACTACAAAGTTGTTTTGTTCATACGCTCTAACTACTCTAAATGCCTTAGCAATCAACTCACCCAAAGCCCTAATCGAAATTTATTCTACTTGGTGTGAACGGAAAGAAGGCGGTTCTGAACTTACTCATGGCTTGGGTCCATCTCCTTTTGTCCGATGTTAGAAATCTGGTTGGTTTAACAATCTTTGCTATCCCACAAGAATATCCAGGCCCCGGTGCTCTCAATGTGAAGTTTTTCGGCAGTCTGACAGTTTTGTTAGTTGTTCCAGCAGCACCAACACTGACCTGAAACGAACTTATGGCATTGGGTGGGTCCTGAATCCACGATTGCATGACTCCCCCCTTGCAGCAGTTTGCAATCTGCTGATTGTATGGGGTTCCAGGCAACAAATCTACAACTGTGGGATCCTTTTTACAGCAATGTGGGACATTCCCCTTGTATTTTGAGCAATCCCCTTGTTCTGTTGTTTGTGCTCCCACCATGCTCCATATTACTTCCTTCTTCGCCCATGTCCATCCTAAAGTCCAACCTGGCGCTTGTATATGTCGATACTGCTGGAAGTTAAACATGGTAACTACTGCCTGCCATTTCAGAAATATAGTTCGTATCAGAAAATTCACTGGAAAAGGCAAATAAAGGATTATATATCCGAAAAATCAAGCTTCGAGGTAATGGAAACAATCGGTAAGGGAATACTAAATCAGATTCTCCAACATATGGAGCAATACCAACAAGGTTACTATTGATGTTAACACAGATGGGAAGATAATTCTAAATCAAAACCTAGTATCTCTTCTTCTCAATTCAGTTTCAAGCAAACAATAAAATCCAGTGCAGAATTTGAACAAATTATCCACTGCATCTTTTGAAAACACTTAAAATCTAACTCAAAAACTTCAGATGTATAACCGAAACAACAATTTAAGCCAAACCAAACTCAACGATAGCCCGCTTTCAAAGTATCTAGTAAATGTATAGCATGATCTCATCAAAGGAATCCTCTGCCCATCAATACTTACAACATAACCATCCGGAGTCCAGCTGATGACATCCCATTTAATCGTTATATTCCCAGTGGGATCAAGAGCATCATAGGCTTCTGCAAAAACATCCAGCAACACGCAGTTCAATTCATCAATCCTCAAAATCTCCATAACAGTGACTTTATTGCAAGTACATGATTTATTAGTCAAATTGGATATTTATACAGCTGCTTTACTATATAACAACAAAAATATCCAATTTAATAGGAAATATCAATCATTCAATGCTTCACCACTCCAAATTTAGAAACAAAAAGCACAAAATCTCAAACTTCGCTAAAAGATTCACCTACCCTCCAACGATTTCTTCGAAAGTTGGATTCTTTCGAATCGAAAAACAAGTTTTCGGGTAAGTTAACCAAACCCCACAAGCAGAAACAAAGAAAAACACTAAACAGAAGCTAAATTTGGAAACTTGAGCAAGAAGTACTGACCTGTAGAAGTAAAAGTGAAGCAGGAAAGCAAGAAGGCGAGCAGAATGGTGAAGCTGGTGAGCTTGGCTATGGATCCAACGGCTGAGAAGCACCGAGGCTCCATTTTCTGATGCAGGTTTAGTTTGTAACAGTGATGCTTATGTTCTGATTTAGCTCTCAAGATCTGCACAGAAAATGTAGAGAGAGAGAGAGAGAGAGAGAGAGAGAGAGAGCTGGGGATGTGGCTGCCTTTTCCTTTCATATAGCTGGTGGCCTTTGAAGCTCTCACTCTATCACTCACTGTTTAATGTTACTCAAGTTTTATCGTCGGTGACTCGGTGTCACAACAAGCATCACAACATGCATGCTTAAATTCCATTTTTACCCTTTGCAGTTTTCCTCTAATCAAAATATACCGTAGAGCTTTGCGCTTGAGTTCAAATTCTCTCGTTATTTAAACGTCTCTTATTAGTTCGTGTGAAGAAAAATTGACATAGGACGAGAGACAAGAAAAGAAGAATATACATCAATCGTATGCAAGAATTCTATGCGTCAACGTATGAAAGTCGACGGAAGAAATGCTTGAAAAAAATCATAAGAAAGAAATATACAACTCGTTACATCAGATATTTCGCTCACGCAAAAAAAATATTATATCACTAGTTGGGTATTTAGGTCATACTCGAGCAACCATCATTTACCGTTTGGTTAATTGTTTTACTTATTTAGGCTTGATATGACACCCCTTACTTTTAGTTAGGTAATTAAAAACAAGTTAAGAGATGCCAACGTACAATGAGGGGCATTTTCGGAACAAAAAAAACATAGCGTAGATGTCACTGGAAAACATATTAAACAACTGTTAAGCCAGACAGCAAATGATGTAGGCCCCACAAGGCATTCTTAAGTGTCGGTGGAGAACAAATTCAATTACTTGTGCACTCGGAAAAGGAAAGAGATATCATGATTTTTTTCTCTCTCGTAAAAATATCAGTTGATGGCTTTATCACAGTATTTTTTTTTTTTTAATGGAAAAAATTCACAATCGCATTTTAGTTTTTTTCTAATCATCGTCGTGTAATTAATCACGAGCTGATGCCTCAGTGTTAAATGATGGATTACGAGATTTCCTTAAAACTAAAACTTGGAGGTCTCGGGTTCGAAATACGTTGTTGGTGTAGAAGCTAGACTTGTGACAAGAGGGAGGCTGAAATGCCTCTGTGAGTCTTTCCGACCTCCGGAAGAGATGGATAACATTTACTTGCCACCAGTTGTCTCTCTTTTTAAAAAAGAAAAAAGAAAAAAAATCAACATTATGTGATTTACCGCTACAAGAAATCAAATTCAATACGTATTGTATAAATACGAATTTGGGGCTTTGAAATTCATCTCTAAGCATATAGAGCCAACCAAGTGGTTAGACGTTCATGATTTGGATCTTTGCAATTTGTCCAAATATTTTTTTTATTTTTTTTCTCTAGCTACCAGATTATAACATAAAGTGGTATTCTATTCTTTTGGCAATTATTTAGTTGCATACTCCAACACATTGGGGCCATCCATTTCCCCTATTTAATTAGTGTGAGATTGTCTTTTATTGTGCAATTCAAATGTTTGGTTGTTTTTTTCTTTAATGTACTGGAATTAGGCCTACAATTATTTGGTTAGTTAATTAGTCTCCTCTCTCTCTCTCTCTCTCTCTCTCTCTCTCTCTCCATTCAAGTGTTTGAGAATTCTCGATTTAGCTTATTCTTATCTATCGTCTTACCCAACCTTACTACTAACTACTTTTGGTCGTTTTAGTGTAATTTCTTTAAAAAAATGTTAATGTTCGGAAAACATTTCAAGAATCAAATTATAACTAAAACCACTTTACTTATCAATTGTAAATGCTAAATACATGAAAGTATGTGCAATATGAATCAGTGATTTATGGTTTGTTTAGAAGTGTTTTTAAAAAAAATATTTCTGATTTTCGAAAGCACTTAAAGTGTTTCATGTAAGAAGCACTAGTTATATGTTTTGTAGGAAACATTTCAAATACTTTTTCGGGTTTCACTTGCATTTTTACTAAAGATATCCTAATTTTTTTTTTTACTAAAAATATTTTCAACCATTTTAAAGCTCCAAACAAACACTTAAGTTCTTTTGTGTTTGTGACCAAATTAAGTTTGAAAGGGCTTATTTGCGAAGATCGTGGAACTTGAGAGTGCAGGGTAGAAACATATTTACTTTAGCCAACTTAGATTTATTTAGTGTGGCTAATATAATATAATATAACGGACCCAAAGGAACAAAAAATAAATAAAATTAAAGGTTGTACGACATGTCGTTTATTGTGGTGCAAGTAAAGGCAGAAGCTTTGGGGACGATGGGGTTTTGAGGGGGGAGAAAAATGGAGAAGAACATCTTGGAAGAACTGCAGGATGCCAAGCTCCACAGGCAGCTCAGTTCCCTCATCCTCGCTCATCTCCGTGACAGCAATCTCTATCAGGCAAGCAAATTACCTCTACTTCTTCATCATTACATATACGATATATGATATATATATATATATATATATATGTATGTATGTATGTATATTATATGTATGTATAGATGTTCGTGTGTGTTTTTTGGTTGCTGAAATAGTGTTGGAAAACTAAAGAAATTGAATTTTCAACGTAAAGATTCAATATTTTTTGGTTTTTGGGAAGAAACGAGTAGTTAAGCTCACTTGGGTATGAAGAACATGTTACAATCTCAATCTGGAAGTAGAGTTTTTTTTGGGTTGCAGATTGGTTGGTTTCCGGGAAAAAGTAGGAAAATCTGCTACTCTCAAATTCAAATTTGTATACTTGACTTAGTTGGGAACTTCATGAACATTTGGTTCCTCTGAAGTTCCGGTTTTTCTTGGGTTTTGGGGAGAAAATGGTAGATGGTAGTTATGGGAGATGAGGATTAAGATGTAATGAGACCTTGGATGTTCTGGTTTTAAGTTTGGAATTTGAATACGTTGATTGGAGATTGATTTGATTCCGTGTTACCAAATACATCACTACTATTTCATGCTTAATCTGCCTTGTACCAATTTTCTGTGGTGACCTATCGTTTTTTACAATCCATGGTGGGGAAGAGTTTAATTCAAATGTTAAGGTTGATTGTGAATTTTTGGTGATCTTTCTCATCTGCAGGCTGCAAGTGCCGGTGCTTCAGCAACAATGACATCATTGAATGCCGAAGCCCCACGTAATCGGCTTCTTGAACTGGTTTCGAGGTTTGTATTTGCATTACAAGGCTTTTTTTTCCGTCTATTTTCAGTGTTATGTTGCATTGTTTAAACTCGGAAAGAAAGTTTTGGCTCTAAGGTGATTACAGGGCCTTGCAGTGGAGAAAGATGAGATGTTGAGAGGGGTTTCTTTATCTGCATATGATTTGGGTACATCAGTAGCTTCTAGATATGGTGGCATCCCAGCTACTCGCACTGCTGCTGTTGATTTTGGGTAATTATGTTTTTCGGAATAGGTTTCCGTGTCATTTGATTACTGCTTGATGCCTTCTTGATTTGCAATGGATTACAAACAAACTTCCAAACTTTCGGCTCTGGTACTTATCGTTTAGTTGCTCAGGGAAAAAGGAAACTGACCATGAAAAACTCCTAGGAATAATATTTACAAAATTTTGTATAACTAACCCTATTAATCTGATCTTGCATATCTTCGTGCAAACAGTGCTGTGCAGGAAACAAAAGGCTCACCAAAGAGTTTTCCAAAGCATGAGACACGCCATCTTTCAGAGCGCAAGGTATACATAACAAGGGAAAAAATTAATTGCATAACATGTGTGCTTATTTTCATTGATTCACTAAGTTAGCATGATAAAATCACTTTCCACTGGGCGTCTTACTTGTTCTGATGGGATAAACTTTCTATAATATTGCCAGATGTGCAGGGTTTAGTCCTGACGGGAAGTTTGTTGCAACTGGAAGTTCCAACACATCAATAAAGCTTTTTGTGGTGCTCATTCCTTTAGCCATAGGATTAGTTCTTTCTTCACCATGGGCCCAATCTGATTCTCAGGCAGTGTTAAAATGTTTTAGGTTTCAAAAATTAAGCAAATGATGCTTCCCGAGGCTAGAGATGGTCCTGTGCGACCTGTCATACACACATTCTATGACCATTTAAAAGTAAGTAAACGTTTGTTCCTAAAAACATTGTTTTGCTTATAAATTTCCTCTTTCAACCACACCCGTTGTATGCGATCATCCTATGTTGACTATCCCATGACTCTGTCTAGGAACATTACACAGGGAGAATGATTAAAGTAAACTGATAGTTTAAACTCTGTAGTTTTAAAATTACATATAACATCCCTTCGAGTTGTCAAATTGTGTCTGTGTATAACATGTGGATTTAGCTCGGATTCTATTCTTATTTCATTTAAAGCCAATTAGACAATGTCTTTGGGATATTCCCTTGTGTCTAATGTTATTCGGATTTAATTGCAGCCTAGAAGGGCTTGGATTTCCATCCTCATAACACTGTTCTTATATCTGTGCCAAAAGATCAGACCATAAAGTTTGGGTTCTTTTACTTTCCAAGATAATATTTGAATTTCCATTTGTTTTTTATTGATAAGTTCTATTAACTTGTAAGGCCAGCAACATAACATATCTTCTTCCCCCTCTTCTTCTTCCCTTTTTAGTCGTGTTGCTGTTCCCTCTTCTCCAAAGCCCTTGACCATTAACGAAACAGGAGTTCGCTTTGAACCCTTATGTCAATTTTGTTACTACTTTCAGGTTCTTTGATTTTTACAAGATGACCGCAAAGAGGGCATTCAGAGCATCCAGGTTTTGCTTGTCATCTCATATAGATTGAAGCAGAGTATACAGCGACACTCCTTTTATAAATTGTCCTTTTAATGACATAGGATGCACACAAGGTGTGTTCAGTATGTTTTCATCCTTCTGGAGATTTTCTTTTTGCTGGTGATATTATGCTCTTTCTTGTTATTTTCTATTTTCTTGGTGGAGTGAAGTCGCTTTAGCCAATTTGATGTTTTATGCAGTCTATGAGTTGGTGTTTTCCAGAATGTGTACATTTGTCATGGTTTGTAGTTGAAGTTCTGTTATAAATTTACTCTTGCTACAATTTATCCATAGCTTCATCAAATATTTTAGTTATATATCATACTTTTTCGTTTTCTCATAAAGGACGTTGTAAAGCGGATGTATGATGAAGTTGATGACAGAAATTTCTATTGCTCTTGGTCTGTAATGTCCGAAAGTATTAGTTTACATTTAGATATCAATACAGTGAATTGGCTTCTAATGATGTTTATATCTATCAATAAAACCGCAGGGACGGATCATCCAATTCCACACTTGTATGATGTCAATACCTTCCAGTGTTACCTATCTGCAAATGCCCCAGAAATCGATGTTAACGGAGCAATAAATCAGGTATATGTTTGACTCCATCTCTTTATTCATGCTTCGAGTTCTGCTATACATTGTTCATAGATAAATACAATTCGATGAGGGCATTCAAATCCACATATTTGTTCATCAGGTCAGGTATTCAGCTACAGTGGCAAGCATGTTACAGCTTCTAAAGATGGTGTTATTCGTTTATGGGATGGTATAACTGCCAAGTGTGCACGCTCCATACCCGCACATGGCACAGCAGAGGCAACCAGTGCAAACTTTACTAAGGATCAAAGGTATGGAATATGGATCAAAGGATAGGTCTGTCCTGAAACATGATGTGTATGAAAGTGTGGAAAATTGTGAAAGTACATGTATGGAGGGTTGACTTTGTTATGTGAAATGATGTTTCTGCATCTAAGTTGTTTCACAAATGTTGGATAACATGGCTAAGGAATATTTTGCTCATATCTCCGTCGAGTGTCTGGCTTGAGATGTGTTAAAACATCACTGTAAATTTGATTCACCCCTCATTTCTTTCCAAATCTTCGACTTCACAACCTTCCTGTTTTCTTTGGGATATGACTCAAATGCTGGTCTTCTAGGTTTGTTCTCTCTTCTGGAAAGGATTCCACCGTGAAACTTTGGGAAGTTGGCACTGGGAAACTGATTAAGCAATATCTAGGAGCTACGCATACTCAACTGCGGTGTCAGGTATTCCAGAAAGGCTTTCTTTTGGTGGTTTTTTCTTAAAAGAATTCAAGGAAGGATTTGAGAATGCAATTTCTTATGCCAAAGAAAACGGCTACATAAGTCCTCTTGTCAACTACGTAAAATTCTAGACCAGAATTCTTCTCCACTCTGCTGCCCAGTCTGAGGAACCCAAATCAGGAAATATTGAAGTTTGGTGATAAACTACTCATGTATCAATATCATAGGTGCTTTTATAAACTTATCTGCAGGCTGTTTTTAATGATACTGAGAAGAATTTGTACTGTCCATCGACGAACCAACCAATGAGGTTTGTTTGCTCTTACTGTATTTAGATAAATGTGCTGGTTAGTTTCAATTGATAGGAGACCGAAAAAGAAATGTTTCAATTGATAAATATGGGATGGTTACAGATTGTTATCTGGGATGCTACGACAGCACAAAGTGGCAAAGTGGCCTTCCAATCATATTGGTGCTTTCCGTTGGCTTGCGCACTTGCCAACGGAGGCAGCATTTGTTACCTGTGGGACTGACAGATCAATCCGGTTCTGGAAGGAAAGTCTGTCAAGCCTGTAGAAATCCGGCTGGCGACTTTCTTGATGTGAAGAGTGTAGATTGATGATCTGAGTTAGGATTTTACTCCTCTCCCTTAAAACTAGATGAGTTAATAGAATGTAACCCACAACAGAGGACCCCCAATTTGACTGGTTCAGTTTGGTCAGTAAAATATTTTCATTTTACTTTTTTAATCTGTCTTTTCTAATTGGCAAACTCTTTGAATAAGTATGATTTTCGTATTTGAGTCCGATACAATGTATATATTTGGAAGTTGATTGGTAGATTACAAGCTAGTTTCAGATCCGACATCGGTTGTGAAACAAGAGGTCAACAAGTAAACAAATGGACATTTTGAGCAGCTTCGGCAACCCTGTTGGAATGCGACACTTACAATTTCCTATGCCGGAGAAAATGGCTAAACCGGTTGAAATTCTTTGGTCCGTCTGCGGGTGAACCATCTCACATCCACCCAGCCACACAAACAGAGAATCCTGTATTAGATAGAGATGCGGGTGAACCATCTCATCCACCCAGCCACACAAACAGAGAATCCTGTATTAGATAGAGACGGGACAGACGGGACGGACATAGGGTGTGTGGGATCCTAACACAAGGGAATCCGATCTGGTCGGTCAGATAACGTGGTCCACCTGTCTGGTCGGTCAGATAACGTGGACCACCTGTCGGACCCAAAAATTTCGTATAAACCAGAACATCACGCATGCAAATGACAATGTAAATTAGGTAGAACAGCGAGGTTATTTTATAGCACACAATAGAAAGACAAATGTGGCAATAGACTGAAGAATCAAATGAATCAAAGTCTGGTTTATTTCTAATTTAACCAACTATAAGATCAAAACAACAATTCAAAAGTAAGGCAACTACATTCGAAATCAACGAAAACAAACGATCAAACTTCGAAAAACAGAAACTTTGATCAAAACTGTCATTCCCCTTTGATAATTTGACAACTCCGACTTCTAATGGCATCTCATCAGTAGGCTCGACGCTGCATTTTCTTCGGCTTCTTTACGAAACTCAATCGAATTTGCTTCAACCGTCTCTTCTTCCTTGCCATCTTCTCAGGGAAAGTTTCCCGCTTCTTCTCCTTCTTCGCACCCTTCTTCAAAGCCTTTAGCTCCTTCTTCTTCTTCAAGAAATACAGGTCCACCGGATACGCCTTCTGTGTCAAAGGCACCCCTCTCTTTTGAGCCTCATTGAACAGCGCAGTGGCTCTATCGACGCGGTTGTGAGCATACAGTTTTCCCATCAACAGCTCATAAGTCTTGATTCCGGGCTCACATTTATCCTCCTTCATCTTCTTGAAAACACGTAATGCGTGATCGATTCTCTCAATGCCACACAAAATCTTTAAGAATCCATAATATTCCTTCTTATTAAGAGCCTCGCCAAACCCGGCAGACTTCATCCTATCAATCATTTCATCCCCTTCCCCAATCCTTGCCGCCTGATACAAGCTCCTGATCAACACAAGAAATGTAGTTTCATTCGGGTAACACCCCCACTCACCCATTCTCTCAAACAGGTTCAGAGCATCCTCTGTCTTCCTAATCTTACACAAATTACTAATCAACACATTGAAGGTCTCCACATTTCTCGGAACCCCATGAGTGTCCATATCCACCAAGATTTCCTCCACCTCCGAATGAAGGCGAAAGGGATCCTTCTTCCTACAAAGCTTGGAAACGCAATCGAGAATCGCATTGTAAGCAGTAGAACCAATCTCAAACCCTCCTCTATACATCTCTCCAGCCAATCTCCTGGCCTCCTCGAGCTTCCCATCAACACACCAGCCCTTGATCAGCAAATCACACATATACTCATCAGGGAAAAACTCATTGGCCAAACCCTTCACCATTTTCTCAGCATTGCTCGCAAAACCGTTTTCACAGAGCTTTTCGATAACCAATTTCAGCGAATCTTTGTCGCGCTTCAACCCGTAATCCTTCTCCATCTTCTCAAAGAAAGAAACAGCCTGAGCAGGCCTCCCAGCTCTCACCAGCCTATCAATGGCGGAAGCAAAGGTTTTCGCCCCAGCAACTCCACCTGCACTCACAATCACATCGTGGGTCGCCTTGAAATCCTTCCTCCTCCCAAAGTAATCCACAAAATACGAAAGGGTCTCGTCCGTGTGCTCGAAATTAGGGTTCGAGATCAGCCACTGGTTAAACCCTAAAACCGTACGGCCGGCCTCGGGGGACTGATTGAGTACGTTAAGGACCAGGGGAGCTGTCGGGGTGATGTGGGAGAAGCTCAATTGGAGGCGTTGGGTTACGGAGAGGGGGTCGGAGCTAGAATCCTGTAGGAGCTCGGAGGAGAAAGACTGAGCTAATTCGGACTGATCTGGATCTTGGGTCGGTGGGGCGGAGGAAGAGAAGGGTTTAGAGAGAAAGAAATGGGGTAGAGATAGAAAGTGGGAACTTGTTCCGGTGACTATGGCGGGTCGGGAATGACGGAAATGGGTGGCGTTTTGGGGGAGAAATGGAATGTGGGTTTGGAGTGTTTGGGAAGACGACGGCGATGAAGAGGAGGTGGAGAGGTAGCGGAGCAGGAGCCGCCGGAGCTGCAGAGGCTGTAAAGGCCGCATTTTTAGAGAGAGGGAGAGGGGGGAGGAGAGAGAAGCTCACTGTGAGACGAGGGTTTTGGACTGTTGGAGGAGGAAGGAAAACCTAAACGTTCCTTAGCTTCCAAAACGCTGCGTTTCGGGTGAGTTTTCTATGACATGGGGCTGCGCCTAAGACCTAGGCATCAGGACTAGTCCAATATGGGCTGACGATGACTGCTTATTTTTCATCTAAAATTGGCCTTTCGATGTAATTTGTTGGGCCTCAAGCCCAAATCACATGTTATTCTTTCTGGATCAAAGACTAAAAACTCGTTTGATAATTACATTTAGTTTTCAATTTTTAATTCTTTGGAAAGTGAAAGTAGTTATTAAACGAGTTTTTAGTTATAAAAAAAAACAAAAACAAAATGGTTATCAAACGGTTCCTTATTCTCTATGTGTTAGTAAAAAGAGTATGAAGTGATCTGGATGTGATTAAAACCGGGCATTGGGGCTGAGGCAAATTATAACACGCATCGACGTGATTGTCATTATAAAATTTGAACTTAGGTTTTCAATCAACAAGATGAAATTGAGTGTTACTAAACTAAATGATCAAGCATGACCTTTTAGTTTAAAGTACCTAAGACCTAATATCTTTTGGCAGTTAACACTAGTATATAAGCAATCAAACTTTCTCCCACAAACTATGTAAATGTATCTTTGAGGAGGTTTATAATCTAATAATCCCAGGCTAACTTCTCTCACCATCTAAATTTATATTTCAATTACGTATTGCCTTTGTTGTGGATGTTGAACTTGTCAAGCACACCATTATATGTTTGTCAAAAGTTATGCCTGTAGGGCTATAGGTCTATTAGTACTAATCATATTGACACTCAACTTTTTTTCGTAACTTAGAAAAGTGAGAAATTGCATATATATGTTCATATAATAGGGTATATTTTTGCTCACCACTCTATAGTTGCAATAATATTTATTATCTTACTTGCTAGTTGTGTCTATCAACTACATAGATTTCAAAGTTTAAACTCATCCAGTGGTAATAATAGAGTGGTGAGCATCACGTCCACTTGACGGTGGTGAGTAAAAGTTTTCCTTTATAACATTGAGATGAGATGATCTCTCTCTCTCCGCGTAATCATGATTAACTATGGTGATTGTCATCATTGTAAATCATAATGATAGAGATGATGAAGAAGGGAATGCATATATAATTATAGAAGCATGTAGAAGGACATGTCCATGCGGATCCCATTTAACACTGAGAAAGCATAAACAAAACATCTAAACTTATTAGGACCTACATATAATTATTAAGATAAGCTAAAACTAATTATCTTTGTTGTACATAATTGTGTGAAACCATTGACGCAGCAATACAACTTTGGATTAAAAAAAAACTATGTACCCTACAGCAGGGTCTGGTTCTTCTTCCTATCTGGGATCACAAGGACAAAGTCTCTCTATATATTGATACACCAATTGTCCGGTTGATTCACATCACTAATTATATGTGCAAATGTATATGTATAATTAAGCAAAGTGGTCCATCCAAATGGGATGAGGAGCTACCACAATTTGCTTTTTTCTCAAATTTGCGTTTTATTAAATTAACATGTAACATATGTTGGAGAAGCATCCTACAAGAGCAAATAATGAACCCTGTACCCGCATAATTTATAAGCAAACAATAATTAGTGTCGGAGAGTAGGATCCTGCATGGGTCATATGACAAAATAATGTACAATTAAATATAGGAGTTTCCACTCTTAATATCACCGAGGCCTTTTGTAATACAATCCAACACCTAGAAATAAGTACGTGGTTAAATTAAAATAATATCGACGATATTGGTGGTGGTCCTGCATTAGTTTATAAAGTTTATCAATTAGTTGATCCTTGATCAGGACCAGCCACTTGAATACGCATGAAATTATGTAAAGCAACAATGGTTTTATAGAATATCTTGATACAATGCATAGTACGATATAATGATGAAAAACAATTTAGTTTAAGAGGGTTTGTGATTAGGGTGGTGGACGATGATTCGCTCAGATGTTCTTCTTTAGGGCTTTAGATCGGACCAGCTATGGTTTTCCAGTCGATGGAGTAGGCAGCCCAAAATTGTACTTATTCATTTTTATTGGCAACTTGGTTAGCCAAAATCATGATGACATCTTCTCCTCGTGGAAATGAAGATAAGCGTGGGTGTGCCATGCTTGTTGTAATGGTGAATTGATAATTTGGTATTATTATCAGTTTTAAATTATGTTATATGGGTTCTGGAGGGGCCATTGATGTTTATGACTTGCACATATTTGTCTTCGGTTGTTCAACTAACTAGTAGTTTATCTTTTAAAGTCGTTCATTTAAAAAAAAAAAAATCGTATTTACCGTTTGTTTTCTGGTCTAGTCAGTAGTCCAAAACTATTGAAGAAAATTTAGACTCTGCACATATAACTATCTCATTTCAATTTCCATGCATATTGGTAAGGAAACAAAACGGTACTGTTAGATATTCCCTCTATATATGCCCATTTTATATCTTGATGTTTCCATGGTAATTGAGGAACAAAATTGGGGGATAGGTTCATTCTA